ACGGAAATGGGGATGGGACCCATAGGCACAAACCTCCCTGTGTGGTCTTTAATAAATATGATTCAGGCCCTTTTTGTACTCAACTCTAAAGACAAAAACTGCTGGAAAAGAAAAAGTTGTTTTTGTTTTTTTTTCCAGAGAGAAAAGAATGTGAGAAGTCATTTGGCAGCAGAATTGGGATGAAGCCATTTTTATCATGTTGGTTGTCTCATTTTGTGCTAGTAGTCATACTGTCATTAGAGAAAAGGCATTTGATTGTGGGGTGCTGCCGTTGTGCTATGAAGAGCATTTGTGGTGTACTTTCAGACCCAAAGGCTAAAATGCTAAGTGTTCCAGGGGCTCTCCATGAGGGATTACAGACCCTGAGGTCCTCCATTGCAGGATCGTTTGTACATTAGGATAATGTATGGAACTACAAGGATGACATGTCAGTGAAGGGTGGTTTGGGGTGGTACAGTGATTCACATAAATGCCACTAAGCAAAGCAAGCTTATGTTGCCAAGAATCGAGTTTTAGCCATATGTTCTCTGTCTCCATTTGCTTTAGAAGAGTTGACTTCTCCTGTGTTTTGGCGTGCTATTGCTGTATGGAAGAAGGAAGCTGTGGGTCCAGGAGAGAACTTTAAGCAATTTCTGTTATTTAGAATGAGGACAACCTGAGTGCATAAAGTTTTCCTTTGACCAGATTTCTGAAGTTTGGGGATCTGATTGATCTTCCAAGGTTTAAACTAATCACAGTGCTTGGCATTTTTTGTGTTGCTGGATTGAGACTTTCTCACTGATAAGCAGCTACTTAAGAAGTTCAACATTCTTCTGTTGAGTAATCATCTTAGAGTAATCAGTTAATAACTTAAACTGTTGGGAAATCATAGTGCATCCAAATTATATTTCAGGGGGAAGAATCCTTAGTATTGTATGAAAGAAATGCATTGTGATAAGAGAAACTTGGTAAAATTAAGAAGAAGACAAGTGTTTTTTAAGAATTCACATCCTGTCCCAGATAGTAGTCTTCTCGTTTTCCCCATGCGTGCCCATCAGGATGAGTCTTGGTGGGACGTAACTGGTAGGGGTGATGGTCCCCTTCTTGCCTGTGGGGTAGCCCTAGTCCAGGACTCCCGTGTGCTCCAGGTCCCGGTATTATCAGGGTGCTCCCTTGAGGTTGGTCAGAGCACAGGCAGGGGCCCCGAGTTCAGTGACAGCAGGCGTGCGGAAGCTCCAGAGAGACCGGGTAACAGTTCTCTGCCACTCTGGCTTGTCTTGAGTCAGATGCCTGTGATAGCTGGTCTTCTTATCTTTCCTCAGGTGTTTATTCTTCAGGTGAACTTGAAAGTCATTTTATCCAGTCATTAAAGAAAAAAAAAACATCATTAGGGAGTCCATCTGGGACTAGACCACGTTTATGTACTAATTTAGGAAAAATAAAATGAATTAATTTTGCAAGGCCTGTTTTCTTTCTAAATTTGTTGCTGCATTTGTTTTATTTCTACTCTATTATAAATGGCATTCCCCTCCCCCCTGCCATGTCCATTTCTTGGTATTCATCGCTAGTACAGAATAGAACTTTTTAGAACTATCTAGTATTCATAATCAAGTATGGGAACAGTGGCTGAGGGGATATTTGAGGGTGTTACTGGGGTTTTGTTTTATTTTTGTATATGTTTGGAATTTTTCATAAGTGCTTTAAGGTAACTATGGTGGTAATGGGCATCCCTTCCCGATTAGTGGTTGTAACTTAAATAATTTAGAATCTATTGTTTAGAGAATAACATTTGCCATTGGTTTCTGAAAGGTATTTAAGCAGGTTCCTCGCTTAGTGTTTTCATTAGAGTTGGTTGCTGAATTTTATCACCTTAGTCTTCAGCATGTATTCACATATGGTTTTCTCTAATTTGTTGTAACAGCTTGCATTGATAGCTGCTGTTGGTCCATTTCTGGGTTATAATTGGTAGCAAGTATTTCATTGAGGATTTTCACATTCATATTCTTGAGCGAGATTGACCGGCAGCTAGCCCACTTGCTCACCATTTCTTCATTTGGTTTGTTACTGGAGTTGTGCTGTCTTCGTAAAATAAATTGGAGTGCTTCCTCTTCTTCTGTAGTGGCTTAGATCGCGTAGGCATTTATCTGTTCAGGTTTGGATGAAATTGAGTTCTAATTTTGTCCGGTTGTGGTCCCTTTTTCATTGGTAGATTCTTTATTCTGCTGTTCAGTGGTATTTGTCTAGTCAGGTTCTTGGTTCAGTTTTGGTCATTTACAGTGTCTAAGAAATCATGCATTTCTTTGGATTTTCAAGTTTGTGGCCATCTTCATACCTGTGGTCCCTGTGACTGTGATTATACCTTCTTTTCAGTATTTTTTTTCCTTAATGGAACTTTTGAGGAATTTGTTTCAGAGAACCAGCTTTGGATTTGTTTACTCTTCTGTTGGGTTATTTTCCAGTTCTTTATTTTCATTGTTCTTCAATAACGAAGAACCCGGATCCCATCTGAGTCCGTGAGAGCCTGTGCTGTGTCCCGTTCCTTTTGCATTTATCTTCTTTCCTTGGCTTTCTAGATGACTTAGGGCTTTGCTTTTGTTACCCTCTTTGACCCAAGGGCTATCCAGGAATGTTCCGAATAACTAGGAGTTCTTTTTTGTCTGTTTTAACAGAGTATGACCTGTGAACACTAACTGAAAGTAACAGTCCTCTGTCCTTGCTTATATTGTGTTTACTAGAGTCTGTGCAATCCTGGGAGAAGCTGTTAAAGCCTTCCACCTGAATTGTACTTTCATTAAGTTCACACAGTATTTTCCCTAGTCTTTGTTCTATGTATTTATCTGATGTAAGTGTCTATGGGTACAGGTTTATGAATGTTTTAGTTTTATAAACTGTTCCTTTTATAAATGTCACACTTTCCTTTAAATCCCACCCTGGTTAATACTAACAGTATCTCTCCTTGTTCTTTTTGTTTGCACTAGCTTCATATCTCCTCCTTTGTTTTCAACATTTTTTTTTTAAGCTACTTTTTTTGAAGCGTGTTTCTTCCATGTAATGTACCCTGGTTTTCTGGTGTCCCTCCCCGCCCCCCACCCCAACCTGTCTCCTCTTTTAAGGAGAGAATTCACATTTAAACTGATGACTGATACTCTTGATGCCCCTTCTATTCAAGAGACTTAATTCAATCCAGTGTTACACAACTCCAGGTAGACCCTGGGCTTGCTCTTCTTGGGAGGTTTTTCTTCTGTTACTATTTTCTTTTCCTCCGTCAGTCCCTTTTAGTTACAGGAGGAAGTCTTGCTGCTAACAAGTACATTTCCTCGCTGTTTCCTCTGAGGCTGTCCTCCACCCACGATCTCCCTCTCTTGTTTGCCTCGTGCTCTCAGGTGTCTTATATTTGGTCTTCCATGTCACATTTCAGGTCTCTACTGTGACCTTTCATTCAATTCAGCTACCACAGTTTGAGTTTGGAAGTCATGGATTTTAGGTCCAGAAAGTGTTATTTGGAATACTGTAATTTGAAGCTCCAAACTTTGGCCACCAGATGCAAGGAGCCGACTCAGTGGAAAAGACCCTGATGCTGGGAAAGATTGAAGAGATTGAGGGCAGGATGAGAAGTGGGCAACAGGATGAGATGGATGATTGGCATCCCCGACTCAATGGATAGGAGTTTGAGCAAACTTCAGGAGATAGTGGAAGACAGAGGAGCTTGGCGTGCTACAGTCCATAGGGTGGCAAAGAGTCGGATACAACATAGTGACTGAACAGCGATAACTTGCATCTTCATCACAGTGATGCTGTTTTCTTGGTTCAGATCGTTCTCCTACTTGTTAAGCTCATCCTGGAGGCAGGGAAAGAGGGAACGCTTAGGGGGACCCCTCTCTTCTTACCCTGGGGTCCTCACACCCACAATCTGTTCCCAGGCTCTTCGACGATGCCTTTCTGGTTCTCCCTTCCAAGGAGCCCTTCATCTCCTGCTTCTCTGGTTCCCCAGCAGTCTGCTGTCTTGTAGGTTTGAGTTAGTTCTGCTGCCTTGGCTGAAGCGTTTTGGGCCACCTGGATGGAGCTTTACCTGTCTCCTTGGTCAGAAATGGTCCGTCCTATGTGCTTAGCTCACCCAGCACTCCCCCCACTCTCAGTGATGATCTGCCCTAGGAAGAAGCACTTTACATCCTCCTCCTCCCCTCCAGTTGGCTTTTCAAGGGCACCTGGAAGGGAGAAGGAGGCTCTGCCCTTGTCTTCCATGACATCGCCTTGGAATCAGAGTTACAAATCCTAGCTTAACCATTTTTTTCGGGGCTGGTTGGGACCATTTCCATTCAAAAAGGAAACTTTGTGCAGTATTCAGGCATGAATGTATCCATATAGGTAATATGGAGAGTCAGGAAAGTGAAAGGAGTTTTCTAAGCACCAGAAAGAATCAGATGGAACTGCATTCACATCTCTGACTTTGTTACCAAGGCTGGCCAACAGGGTCCATGCCTCCCAGGGTTCAAACCCTCAGGTATCTTCGGTCCTTTCTCCTTTACTTATAAGTGTAGCTGCTGGCCCTGTGTGCATCAGGATCAGAGTCTAGTCCGCGGAGCTCAGGTACCCTCCCCAGCAGGCAGCAGCAGATAGGATCCAACAGGAATCTCCTCCGTGTGCAAAGTTTTCAGAGAGAGAAAGGAAATTACACAATTCCAGAGGGTGTGGGAATTTGTCTTTTTTTCCTACTGCATATGTAGTGCCTAACGTATAAGCAGTACTAAAAAAGGTATTGTTGAGAACATGGAAGATACATATGTACACGTGCATGTAAGTGGTCACTTTCGTTAGCTTAATTTTTTATACCTAATTTGTATAATGAGAGGTGAAAATTTCATCATTTCTGGAAAAGTATTTGATGTAATGAGAAGCTGAGTGAAACAGAAGCTGTTGGCGCCTCATCTGTAATTGCATATCAGTTCATACTGTAATAAATATGTGTGTGTGTATGAATGTACTTTTTTTTTTTTTAACAGATTGACGAAACTTTACTAAAGATGTCTAAGGTAAGAGATCATACTTCATCATGTATCCAAAGTATAAGGACAAACTGCTTTGTTTTCAAACCTTTTATAGTCAAGATTTATATGATTCATTGTATAACTAATGTTTGATTCATTAAGACAGTTCTAGTTTAACTATCATCCTAAAGGTTTGAGGTTTCTTTCTTCAGATTTTCAGTTTGTTTCTAAAAGCATTAATGATGATCTGTTTAGCCTCCTCAGATTATACCTAGCAGACTATTCAAATAATAATTTTAAAATTGTAATAATTTATCATGATGGAATTGATGGGGTTCTCAGACTTGATAAATTGGCTTATGTCAGCTCTTACTAATTAGCCCAGAGCCCTGAAAGAAGTTGATTCTAAAAGAAATGCTGAGGAAAGCAGAATTTGTGGTTAAAGTTGCAAGATTATTGTTTCTCTTTGCCTTTTATTTTTAAGTCTTTGGGTATTTCTTACTGTGATACAGAAACATCATAGTAATTTTCATATTTTATGTAGGCATCAGTGTGGATCTTTGATAAGCGAAAAAGAAAATAAAAATTAGCCATAATTCCGTTATTCAGAATAACCACTTGTAACATTTGTGAATATTGTTTTTATATCTGTGTGCATGCACATGTGAATATGTTAATATATATCAAAGGAAATACCATTCTAAATCTTGCCTTTTGCGTTTAATGAGTCTCTATTGCTGTATCTTGATTTCTTGCCACATTCAGTAAGCCACAGCCTGGACTCCTCAGTGTCCCCGCCCTCGCTGTGTGGTGTCCCCTCCTGTCAGGCTGTCGGGCGTCCTCTTGGTCTGTGAGTGGGATTCCCAGCATGGCACCCCTCGGTGGCCTGCCTCACCCCGGGCTCCACTCTGGGTAGTTGGGCCACCGCAGGAGACAGGGCTCTTTCCTGCTTCTCCTCTCAGATGTGCCACTCCTGACACTGGGAGTCTTTATATTCGGAAGCTGCTCTTTAGCTGAGTGTGATGGATGAAACCACTGTCAGTTGGGCCTTACTTTGTAAGTTTGACTGACTCTCCTTTCACTCTATAGACAGTTTCTCACGTCAGGATTGAAACTGTACTGAGATGAGTTAATGTATCTTTTGTGTGTTGCTTAATTGCTTAACAGAAATGTTATTTAAGGTTGACCTGTAGGTATGAAATGACATTGGATTGGTTTTTTAAATGGCTTTAAGCTTTCTGAAAGCAGTGACTTTTTGGAAGTATTGATTTATGTGTATAGTTTTTTGATTTGTGAAAACTAATGATAGCTATGTTTGTCACAGGTTTAATAATATCTTAAAAGCAACTAATAAGGTGTTTAATTGTTCTTTTTTTAGCAACAACCGACTCAGTTTATAAATCCAGAAACTCCTGGATATGTTGGATTTGCAAATCTTCCCAATCAAGTTCACCGAAAATCCGTGAAAAAAGGTTTTGAATTCACGCTGATGGTGGTCGGTAAGAGATTCACTTGTGCCTTCAAGTTGTTGACTCTGTGGACACCTCCCTTTCCTACCCTTGGGTGTGACAGTGTGGCCTCCAGAGTCACAGGATTCCTCTGTGGACAGAGTCAAACACCTGGAGAATTTGGGGAAAAATTCTCTAGAGAATTTTCCTGGAGTACAAAAGGAAAGTTGTTCTATCATTTTCTTGTTTGTATGCAGTGAGAGGGTTTGCTCGCTGTGACAGCCTCTACGGTGCCCCTGCCCCATCCTTGCAGCCTGCCGTCCACGGCGTTTCTAGTCCCTCCCCAACAGAGCAGGGCTTCCCCAGGCAGCCAGTGGGACGTTGCAGAGGTGAAGATGCGTGACCTAGAGAGACTGGCCTGTGCCTCGCTTTCTCTGAAGCAGTCCCTCGGGGGGACAGTCAGTACCTTATGGAGAAGTCCCACAGGCAAGGCACTGAGGCTCCCATCTCAGAACCGTCCTCGCCCCAGTTAGGCCTGCTGGTGACCGCCATTCCTGGCTGACATCACTGTGACCACAGAGAGACCCTCAAGCCATAAGGACCCACCTTAGATACTCCCCAACTTCCAACCCAGAGAGTCCATGAGATGACGAATGTCGGTGGTTGGTTTAGGCTTCTGAATTTTACAGTAATTTGTTGTACTTTAAAAGTAACATATATTTAACTAGAAGTGTGTTTGTTTATTTAATACTCATAAAAATAACTCTAGCTTTTGTAGATATATTTTAAACAAGGGACAATCCTTACTCTACACATATTTTTAAATGAGTACTTACAGTCCTTTGAAACTGAGTGCTTACCTGAAATTTCTTCCTGTTATATCAGAATGCATTTTATCATGGATTATGGCATGTATATTGAGCTTTAGCATGTCCATAACAAAGTTAACTTGATGAACAGTTAATTCTCTTTACTGTGTCACATTTTACTTCAATCTCGATAACTGCAGAATTCTCCCCAAATGCTAAGATGCCACTGGAAAAGGAAGGGGTGATCATGCATGAATGGGACAAGCGATTGTTTCCTGGGATAAACAGTTCACAAATCTGAGATGGAAAAAGAAGTGTGGGACCCTGGACCCAGACAAGTGACTAGTGACACATTTTAGGAGCGTAGTTACATGATGATGATGATCGTGCAGACTCAGGTTTCTAGTAGGAAGAGAGATGCAGTGCAGCCTGTGTTCCTTCACTGCATTCAAGTCAGACTGTTACTTGTGTTGCCGGCCCTGATGAAATAACTCAGGGGTTGACAGATCTTCTACAGAGGGTCAGATAGTGAGTATTTAAGGCATTGTGAGCCTTACAGCTTTTGGTGAAGCTGTTTTGTTTACGAGCTAGTGGGCTGGCTTTGCCAGAGCACTGTAGTTTGCTGAACCCATGACTATACCAGACCAGTCCTCCTGGTGTGAATAACCAGATGGCTGGGCAAGATGTATGAAACAGCCCTTTAAAGACTGAACAGGGATGCAGGACTTGGATCCTTGAGAGAAGGAAAAAATTATATGAACTGTAAACTTATCCCAACTTTCTGCCACTGCCCCTTCCCCTTCCCCAGGGAGGAGTGAGCCTAGCAGAGCAGGTGGTCTCGGCTGAAGAAGACCCGCAGTTTGGGGCTGAGGCACGGGCAGAGTTCTGGAGACAAGACCGCCTCCCTCTGCGCATCTGCGCCGGGGCTGCCTCTCCCCTGGGGCTCCCTCTTGCCCTGAGGCTGCATGGTCTGTGTGCTGGTAGAGGGTGGGGAGCTTCCAGGAAGTCCGGCAGAACACAGCCAGCAGGAAGGAGCAGAGCTGAACTGGAGACTGCCTGGAGTTGGAAGACTGGAAAGGTATTGGGAGATGTTGGAGTTCAGCCAGCCAGGGGCGAAAACACCTGTGACACTGAGGAGAGCCCTCTCGTGGGAGGAGGGGTAACCTCACGGAGAGGCTGGTCTACACCCTCCCTATCAGAACTTCTTAATGAACCATAAAAGGATCAAGTTCATTTACAAATGATCTAACTACTTGCCAGGGCAAAGCCTATCACTTATTAAAGGACACTGATGTCTAGACATCTGCAGTATAACTCACAATGCTGAGCATCCGGCAAAAAGTTGTTGTATCTACAAAGAAGGGAGAAGAAAGTAGCCCATAGCCAGGAGAGAAATCAAGCAGTAGAAATAGATCCAGAAAAGAAGAAAATGGAACTTGTAAAGATTAAAAATATATACAGCACCTGAGATGAAAAATTTTCCGATGGGCTTAACAGGTTATTCACTGCAAAAGAAAAGGGGTAATGGAGAGCATCCAAAGAGCCAAGCAGAGTACATAGGAAAGTGCGCCAGGGCCCAGGAGCAGAAGGTGAGGACCACTGACAGACGGGGCAGCCTCAGAGGCAGCCAGAGAAAAGATACTGAGGTGAGGACGACCACTGACGGCACATCAGGAATAACATGAACCCTGCAGGGGGATGGGTTAAAGTAAAGTAAAACCAGCTGAGAATTCTGTGTTCATCAAACACAACTCTTAAAAATGGAAGTTGGAAAGAGAAGGTAAAGACATTTTCTTGTAAATTAGTGGAAAGAGTTGATGAGTATCAGACTATACCATAAGAAAGATGAAATGAAGTTTTCAGGTTGGGGGAGGAAGGGGAGCACTGGAAATGGCAGGTGGGGTTGGTAAGTAGAAGACTTCTTGCTTTTTATTTCTTTCAGAGATAATCAATAGTGTGCGACCTACACGGGTCAGATGAGCAGGACAGGGGGTGGCAGGGGGTGGATAAAAGTGTGCGGCTGTGAGCTTCCAGGATGGGTGAGGTGACAGAAAGTGCTCAAAAGGGAGACGCTGGGTTAACCGTGCAAGCTGTGAACATCAGAGTGGCCACTGGAAAAATGAAGATCTGGCTGGCAGCCAGTCGGTTCGTTAAAACAGAATGTAAACAAGTCTTTAGTCCAAAAGAGAGTGGAGAAAGATGAAAGCATAGAGGAGATGAGAAGCAGGGCGACGTCCGGGCTCGTGGACGGCAAGTGGGAGGCGGGTCCCGCGGGCCCAGGAAGGCCCTTTCTGTGCAGAAACAAGCGAGACACAGAGGAACAGGCCTTACCACGTACACCCCGCTCGTGAGAATGCTGAGGTGTCTTCCTTCACGTCAGACAAAGCAGACTTTAAGCCCCCGAGTAATCCCAGACGTGAGGAACGTCCTATCCTAACGAGAAAGGGGGCTGTTGAGAACAGCACCATCTTAAATATGCCTGATGCAGGACCTGACAAGAGCGGTACGAACAAGTTTCCAACACCCCTCACAGTAACTGAGGGAGCAGATAGAAAGTCGATCACGCAGAATGTTTAAATTATTCCATCAGACGGTGTGGTGCAGCTGCCAGGACTGCCGAACAGCTGCAGGGTAGACATTCCTTTAAGGCACACGGAATGCTGCGCAGAGACGCTCTGGTGATGAGAGTGTCAGGCCAAGCGCTGCCCTGTGCAGATGACTACAGAAGCGGACTGACTCCTCTTGAGTGCAGACCTGACACCCTAGTAAGGTGGTCGCAAGTCCTGCGCTATGAAATGGCTTGTTGCACTCAGTTCCAGCGTGATGCGGCGTATGCCTGTTCTTCAGCAGTCGTCATGCTGTGCACGCATGTGGCTCGTGGGGAAGCGGACCCGCTCAGAGCCTTCCTCTACCACACAGGGAACAGTGGTAAAAGCCGCCTCCGTTTGCCCGTGGACTGGCTGAGAAATCAAAAGTACCACACCAGACGAGCCCCGGAACCCAAGCTGGGAAAGTGGCCCTCGGCCGGGTGCAGCTTGCATGTTGCTGTGGTGGTGGAGGGGTGCTGCCTGAGGACCCGGGAAGCGGCTGGCCGTGGCCTGTGGCTGGACGGCTGAGCTGGGTGCCGTGGGAGCACTCCCCCATCTGGTTCCGCTGGGTGGACTTGGTTTCTCATCACGTGTAAGAAATTGTGAGGTTTGTATTATGTGGAAGTTGTTCCCTAATATATCCATTGTGTTGGAACAGATTGTCAGTTTCAAAGCAAATGTCATATAACAAGATTGCCTGTACATCCTAAACAGAGGGGGTTTTATTACAGGAAAGTGTGGTTTAACATCAGAAATCAGTCACTGGTTCTGAAGGGGAAATACCTGTAGTTAGCAGTACTCTTACCGATAAAAAACTGTGAGAAACAAGTAAAATCTCCTTAATTACAAATGACTTATTTGTGTATGTTAAAATCATAAGAAAACTACATAGCTACTAGATCAAAATAGTTTAGCAAGATTGCAGGTTCCCAGTGAGTATATAAAAATCAGCTTTATTTCTGTATGTTACCAACAAGTAGTTTAAATACAAGCATACAAATATAATATCAAAGGCAGTTACACTAATAAAATCTCTTTAAAAGACAGTACCATTTACAGTAATAAGAGGTACATACTGCTTAGGGATAATTTAACAGAATGTGTGCAAGACCTACACTGAAAATTTGAAAGCACTGCTGAGAGAAACCAAGGGAAAGCTAAGTGTGAGCTCTCACCCGCTGCCCTGGTATGTTGCGGTCTGCGGGCGTCCACCCTCCCCAGATTGATCCATAGAGTCAGTACAGTCCCAGCCAAAATTGCAGCGACTTTTGACAACAGGAATTAACCATTTGATTCTAAAATGCAATTGTAAATGCAGAGGGCCCAGAATATGGCAGAAACAGTCTGATTTCCAGCAGCGTCCACACAGTGTGTAAGGCAGGCGTAGAGGTGCTCAGCTCATGGTGGACTGAAGTGCCAAGGTAATTCTGCATGGGCACAGGTTAATGTTTTTCACAAGTAGTGCTGTAACAACTGCATGATTGTTTGGGAGAAAATGAACTCCAACCTCTACTTCATACTGCACATCACCTGTTCACTCAAAACGAGTTGTTGACCTGGTTGGAAAGCTACAAAAAGTCTAGAAGAAAACAACTTTAAAAAGGTTTATGACTTTGGAGTAGCAGATTGTTTAGGACATGAGCAACACTAATCACAAAAGGAAATGATACATTGCGCTTCATTCAAGATTTGCTTTTCTCAAAAGGCACTGATAAGAAAACAGGCCATAGACTGAGAAAGCGCTTGTAGTGTACATGACCCAGGACTCATATCTGGAATATAAAAGACTTCCGCAGGCTCAGTAAGAAGACAAGTGACCCAGTTACAAAGAGAGTCAAAAGGTATGAACAGACGTTTCACGGGGGATAAGCAGATGGCCAGCAAATGCACGAGGGTGTCATCCTCTTGGGTCATCAGGAAAGCGCCCCCTAAAGCCACACCTGGACGGTCCTGCGCACCCACCAGACGGGTGCCGCGCTGGGCGGGCCTCACCGCAGGCGCAGTGGTCGAGCATGGGCTTTGTTAATAGCGGCGCACTCACCTGGAACCCAGCAGTCTGCTCCCAGATGTCTACACAGGAGAACTGACAGCACACCGCAGACTGTGAATGCTTGTGCCCGCTTTTCTGGACACACGCAGGGGTCTGTCCGGCACCAGGCAGGCTGTGTCTGCTCGCGGAGCAGTGCTCGACAGTGCAGAGAAGTGGGTGACCAACCTCAGGAGCCGAGTGTGTGCTCAGCGGGAGCGCCAGACGGAGGGGCGCGTCCCATGTGCTTCCTGTTAGCGTGTTTGGGTGGCGATGGATTTACACTGGTCCACACCTCTTCTGTGTGTCTTGTTTGCCCATCTCCAGGTACCTGTTAGGGAAACTCCCAGCAGAGATGGAGATACTAGTGAACGCGGGACAGAACAGGGCTGGGTGTGCTCAAGAGATCAGCCCAAGGGTGGCCTCGTCTGCTGAGTTAATGAGCAGGTTGTAGATGTCACCCAAAAGCTATTCCCAGTGAAGTAGTCACTTACACCCTTAAAGTGGCGGCTCAGCATCTAGAATCAGCTGTGTGCACTCAGACACCTTGGCTCAGTTGTCCTCTGCCTGGGTCCCCTTTCCGCTGTGTTACTCAGAGCTGTCGCCACCCAGTTGGCAACAGGGTGGCTTTGTTTGTCTGTCCCCTCCCCTGCTGGACTGCAGAGCCCCGCGGGGGCAGGGACTCGGGCCTCCTGCTCGCTGCTGTGTCCCCACCTGTGCCTGTGCAGGCGCCCGGAGAGGGCTTGGCGCACACTGGTCAAGGCCCCTGCACCTGTAGTGAACGGGCGTCGCTGGACACTCTGTTAAAAGGGTAACTTACCAGGAGAGCACGTATTTAGTCATATTCTTACTCTCATGTTTGGAAAGGTTTAATGTGTGATTCTCGTTTTGCCCCTTTAATGTTCCTTCTCATCTATGAAAACTGCAGTCTAGTTAAAGTACAGTCCAATTTCCGTGTCTGCCAATTTCAGATTCAATTTTTTGTTCTTGATATTCCCAGAGGTAATTTTCAAATCAGATGTGCGCTCCTTCCCTGACTGCAGGACATACAGAGAGGGGTTCGAGCTGAGGGCCCAGGGGCAGTCAGACCAGTGCAGACACAATTCAGCCTTAGGTGATGGCCTCCAGGAAAGGGGTGGAGTGTGTGTTCTTCCTTGGAATATACATTTCCATTTTTTTGTATTTTACATCTTCTTTGAAGTTAAGTTTCAAATACTCAGAATACATAGTTGGCAGTGGTTGAAGAGGAATTTTTTTTAATTTTTTTAATTAAATTTACTTATTTTAATTGGAGGCTAATTACAATATTGAAGAGGAGTTTCTAACTCACTAACTGCTTGAAGGGACGTGTGCTGCCTGCCATGGGGTGTGACACCTGCAGAGGAGCGGAAAGCCACCACAGCGGGTGTGGGGCTGTGAGTGAAACAGGAAGGGGGAGGGGGCCTGCTCCCACCTTGCTGGCCGGCCAGTCACACGACAGGAGTCTTGGGTGTCCCTGCGTCCCTGCCCCACCTCCACAGCTCAGGAAGTTGGGTGCCTTTGACATTGTTGTGTCTGTTCAGCTTTCTGAAATGTGGTAAGTTTAAAGGTTAGCAGAGCCCATAAGTAAAAATCTACTGTGCATTCTGTTTATCAAAACATAAGGAGCCACCTCAAGTCCATTCCAGGTATTTGGCAAGACGTCAGATGGAGTTGGGTTTCCCTCGTAACTCAGTCAATAAAGAATCTGCCTGCAATGCAGGAGACTGGTTCGATTCCTCAGTCGGGAAGATCCCCTGCAGAAGGAAATGGCAACCCACTCTAGTATTCTTGTCTGGAAAATCCGATGAACAGAGGAGCCTGGAAGACTACAGTCCATGGGGGTCACAGGAGTCGGACACAACTTAGCGACTAAACCACCACACATGGAATTATGTCTTATGATTTCTTGGATTTCTCCAGATTTCTCTGGATTCCAACTGAGGCCTTACTCTGGACAGCAGCCCGAGCATGCAGGATACTGACCTCAGAGCCCTTGTTCCCCAATCAGTGGGACCAGGGCAGTTGTGCTAAATCCATTGTGGTCACACGGGATGCAGAGAAGGATGTCTGTGAGGTGCTTAGTCCAGGGCAGGGCTCACGTAAGCACTCAGCAGGCAGACTGTGTCGCACAGGTAACGTCATGACATCACGTTCCTTTTCATTTCAAGGTGAATCGGGGCTGGGAAAATCGACACTCATCAACAGCCTCTTCCTGACTGACCTCTACCCAGAAAGAGTCATCCCTGGAGCCGCAGGTACAGAAGTTCCCCCGCAGCAGACAGCGCGGTGTGGTCAGGACTGCAGAGCGCGGTCAGGATCTTGTGCCTTAGCCTTGTTTGTGTGGCTCTGGACCCAGGGCACACCTGTCGAGTAGGGAGAGGGGTGCTGCACCTGGCGTGCTGGGATGCACCATGGCCCATCTTCCCCACGCTTGATTTCCTTGTCTACAGGGTGTAATAGTTCCTGCCTATATTACACGTTTAATGAGGATCAAGTGAAAATGTTTGCTCATGAAGAAACCTGTTTCTGTGGGCATAGGTGTCGGCTGACCCCTTTCCCTTGGGTGTGTGTCCAGCACTGACCGCTGGGCTTCATGAGGCCACTGAGTGAGTGGGCTGTGAATCCGTCAGCCTGGGCCCTAGGCCCCCACAACAGGACTGTAGTCCCTGGACAGTCTTTAAATGATTCATTCATTGTTCTTCCTGTCCCAGAAAGAGAAGTTGCAATTTTCAATATTGATGTTTTTTTACCTCCACAATAGCCCTTTAATCTCAGCTACAGTGTTTCTCTTGCTGACCCTGGGATCCTTTTTATACAGTCTTCATGTTACCTTCTGAGAACTGTCCTTAAAGAGAAGTAGCTACTTCTGAGTCACTTGTTTAATAATAAGAAAGTAACAGGTTGCTTCTGTTTCAGAGAAAATTGAAAGAACTGTCCAGATTGAGGCTTCGACTGTTGAAATTGAAGAGCGCGGGGTGAAGCTGCGTCTGACCGTGGTGGACACCCCGGGCTACGGGGATGCCATCAACTGCAGGGACTGGTGCGTCCCCAGGGCCCACGGTGACAAGGCCGTGCCCCTGACAAATGTGTCTCCGTGTGTTTTAGTCCGTCATGTTCACTCACGGTTGCTAGTCTGGGGTCGCTGTTTGTGACAGAACAATAAGACAGTTTAAATCATTGTAATTATAGCGTTTTTAATGAGGAATTTCACACAGAATGAGTATTTTCTTCTCTTAAGAGCATTCTAGTGAGATCTGATATCACAAAGCCAACCAAACAGCAAATGCTAACATAAATAAAGCACCTTGATTTGGACCATGGCTAGTGAACAAGATATCATAGCAGCCTTCCTCCTTTCCATATTCAAGAAGATGAGCTCTCTTAAGAGAGTTGCTCCAGACCAAGTTTGTCTGTAGTTGGCTGCTTACTGGTGATGTCTGCACAGTAAGGCAGTGAGGAAGTGGACTGTAAGGGCCGTCTGGGCCGTCCCCCTTGGAGAGAGTACCACCTTCACTGTCCAGCCTCTCGGTTCTAATCCTGCAGACAGACACGAGGCAGCAGCTTTCCAGCACTCACGAGAAGAGGGCGGGACGGGCAGAGGGCTTCCCTCATCTTTCTCCTCTGCCTGGGGTTCTTCCCTCCCTCCTGCAGCCACCTCTCCAGCTCGTCTGTTCTCCACCCGTCCTGCTCCCACTCCCCCCTGGCTCCTATCTGTCTCCTGTCAGTCTGCTCAGGCTCTTTGTAACCTATTGCATCCCCAGCTTTCAACCTTCAATACTTAGAGAAAATTATTCTTGGCACAGTTTCCAAAAGCCACCATGTCGCCAAACCTAGGAGTCGGTTTCTGTTTCCATCCTGCAGTTGTCATTAAATCACATCTGCTAGAGGGGCAGGGGCTAGGAAAACTTGTTTGTCTTTGTAGTCAGGGGTGCTGCCTCTTGTATCCCGTGATCGTTAGTATCTGTGTTTCAGCTTTAAAACAATCATCTCCTACATCGACGAGCAGTTTGAGCGGTACCTGCATGACGAGAGCGGTCTGAACAGACGGCATATCATCGACAACAGGGTGCACTGTTGCTTCTACTTCATCTCCCCCTTCGGACACGGGTGCGCAGGCTTTGCCCTGGAAGCCTGGCATCTGGGGCGGGGTGTTCTCTTTACTGTGCGGCTTTTCACTTCCCCCCAGAATTGTGTGTTTTACTATAAGAATTGAAATTTTGAGATGATTCTGAGAAAAAATTCTCCCCTTAAACATGACTTTTAGACTGAAGCCATTGGATGTTGCGTTCATGAAGGCGATCCACAACAAGGTGAATATTGTGCCTGTCATCGCGAAAGCCGACACACTCACCCTGAAGGAGCGGGAGCGCCTGAAGAAAAGGGTGCGTGCTGGGCTCCCGGGGGGCGGCCCTGGGCCCGGGGAGGGGTGGGCACAGAACAGGCCTGCCTGGGGGGGCGGGCCTGGGCTGGGAGGGGGTCACCGAGCAGGCCTCCCTGGTGCTGGTGCTGTTGGCACCAGCACACGTCTGCTTTCTCATGGTCGTGTAAACTTAGAAAGGAAATCAAGTGCACTGTACTTTTGAGTCTTCGTTTCACTCAGACGAGTTGGTAGCCGTCTGCCTCTCTGGAGCCTGGGTGTGGGCCTCCCCTCCACCCGGGACGGCTCTGGATCGTTGTGTGTTTAGGGTAGCCGTCTTCTGAGACGTGGGGGACGGTGGCTCGTTCCAGTTTGCCTTTGCCCAGTTGCTGGTCTGAGTCTCTTCGTGGCACCTGAAGCCCATTGGTGCGTTCTCTCGGGTTTTAGAGCCTTGCTGCTCTTGATTGCATTTGTACTGACTCATAGATACTCCTGTATTTTTACACGTTGATTATTGTGTTGTAAATGATTTCACCTAGTGTGACCTTTGTGCTTTTGTGTTTCTCCTGATGTCTTCTGTCAGCCTTCTCCTTCATTGTCTTATATGCCTGCCAGTTTTTTAGAAAATATGCAGGCCCCTGGAAAAGCACCTGAAAACTTAGGCGTTTTTATCCTTGACAGGAAATAGTTTAGTCGCTCACACTTGAGGGAACTTAACCTTCATAGGAGATAAATTTCAGACATGCAGTGGAGAGAGCTGTCAGGCTTAGAATGCCTTATATCCGTCTCTGATTATGTGTACAGAGCTCTTAGGTCTTAATCTCAGAGTCTGAAATAAAATGAAATCTTGGGCTTTTCAGCCCCCTCTTATCTGGCTTCTCTCCTGTGCCTGTCCACATGCTCCTTTCGCTGGTCTGAGAACCTCTGTCCCCAGACCTCTGTCGCCTCTCCCTCCCTCTCAAAGTGGTTCTTGTCACCCAGGCTGAGCACGCGCGATTAATGTTGAGTTACCACTTTCTTACTCCTCTCTTCCAGTTCTGGGTGGCCTACTTACTAACTTTGCTCTGTCCCCATCTGCAGCGTCAGCCTTGTCTTGCGGGGCGGAGGCCAGATCAGCTTCCTGCTGCCTGCTCAGCTTCTGCATCTCAGCAGGGAGGGAGTGAGCAGTCCTGAGCAGACCAAGGCCAGGATGCAGGGAGGGCCTTTCCTTAGATCCTGACTTAGTGTGGACAGTGAGCTCATCTGAGGTCTTTGACCACGCGAGGCCCTTTAGTCGCATTAAGGAGGAACAAGTTTGGGAGCAGGTTTGAAGCAGAGCTGCTTCCTGCTGCCTTGGCCTGTGTTCTCTCTTCCGTTGAGGGCCCAGATTCTAGCGTGAGGGTAAGCAGAGGGCCAGCCTGCCCGAGACCTGTGGAGTGCCCAGCATGTGCGGGGGCTTGGGGGCTGGGTTTCTGGGAGACAGACGGGTGAATGCATGCCAGCTCCCACTCCAGCCCCTCTAGAGGGAGGGGCTCCCACTCCAGCCCGGGTTTTCCCCTGGGCAAGTCAGCCACTTGGTTGGTAGTTGAGACTGTGAGCACTGAGCACTCTGCCTGTTAGATGAAATCGAGACCCTTGATCCCTTCCCAACATTGGGAGCTGTCCACTTGTCAGCCCCAGTCACACTCGGCCCTGCCTCCCCGCCCTCCTGGATGCCTTGTTGCCCTCTGGCCACTGGCAGGTGTCCTTCCGGCCCTGCCAGGCGGCCCCCCCCACCATGCAGCCCCCCTACCGGGCAGCCCCCCCACCATAACAGCCCTCTCGCCGGGTCGTCCCCCCCCCCGCCGGGCAGCCCCCTCACCAGGCTACTTGCGTGCAGCACCTCTGTGGCTGCCCGGGGATGGCCGTCAGTCTGCGGCCTCGGCAGGGCCAGGGCGGGTGCGTTCCTGTTATTATTCTGGACGGAGGACCCCTCGGAGTGCAGGCCAGCGTTTCCAGCAGTTTGTAAGATCATTTGAAAATGGTTTTAATCAGTAGGATTCTTATTGACATTTGGATAGTTCTGACATGTTTCTAATCTGATGCATTAAACTTGACTGAAGCAGTATGTGGTTTGCTACAGTTGCTCCTGGTTTGGTCATTCTTTCAGATTCTGGATGAAATTGAGGAACATAGCATCAAAATCTATCACTTACCTGATGCAGAGTCGGATGAAGATGAAGATTTTAAAGAGCAGACTAGACTTCTCAAGGTAGGTACTTTGTTTCCAGATGCACAGGGTCCATCACTCTTACTTTCCTGGTGTTGCTATTTAGTCGGTAAGTTGTGTCCAAGTCTTTTGTGACCCCTTGGACTGTAGCCCGCCAGGCTCATCTGTCCCTGGGATTTCCCAGACAAGAATACTGGAGTGGGTTGCCGTTTCCTACTCCAGGGGATCTTCCTGACCCCGAGATTGAACCCGGGTCTCCTGCATTGACAGGTGGATTCTTTACCTCTAGTGCCACCCGGGAAGCCCCATTTCCTGCAGTCACTGCATTTAACATGGAAACAGCTGGCAAAGGGCCAATTTCTAGAGGCTTGACCTCTGGGGTTGCCCGGGCAGGTTCAGTTACATGAGTACTTTTGCTTTTGGCATATTTTGGCATAGCTGTCATCTAAGGCTTAGAAACCTTCTGAAGGTTTAGTTCCGTACACCTGTCCCCCGGGGAAACAGCTGCCACTTGCAAGTGGAATGTGTGCCCTGGCTTTTGCAGTGAGCCCTGCAGTTGGCAGCAGTGCGCGCGTTCTCTGCTCACGTCCCTGTGTTTCCACTGAACGTTGGGGTTCCCCGTGTGGAGCCAGTCTACCCCGTGTGTCTCCTCCTAGGCTAGCATCCCTTTCTCTGTGGTTGGATCCAATCAGCTGATTGAAGCCAAAGGCAAGAAGGTCAGAGGCCGCCTCTACCCTTGGGGTGTTGTGGAGGTGGAGAACCCAGAGCACAACGACTTTCTGAAGCTGAGGACGATGCTCATGTAAGTACCGTCTGTTTCCCGTGGCGGCGCCCGGCCTGGAGAGCAGGCTTCCCTGCACTCCTGAGGCGGCCGGTCCAGCTGGTGCAGAGGCCCGCCCGCCTCTGACTGCCGCAAACTGGCCTCTCCCGCCGGGGACTGCGCTCCTCAGGCTCGGACACCCTGATGGTTTTCTCCGCGGTGACAGTGACGGCTCCCTCTGGTATAAACGTTAAGCTTGCGGAGTCAGAAGTGTAAGTCCCTTCGGAGGAGTGTGCTCTGGTTGAGGCTGCACTTGCCTTGGTGGCTGTCCTTCTGACCACGGGCGGTGGTCTCCTGTGGGAGGTGTCCCGGGGTCTCATTCCTAGAGTGTGCTATGTGTGCGTGACCAGGTGGCAGGCGCGTGTGGCTCAGCCCCGGCGCGTCTCTTGTCTTACAGCACTCATATGCAGGATCTCCAGGAGGTGACTCAGGACCTGCACTACGAGAACTTCCGGTCTGAGAGGCTCAAGAGAGGCGGCAGGTCGTTGCCCCAGCCGTGCTGTCCCCTCTGCCCCGTGTGCCCCGCTCAGCTGACAGCCAGCATCACCATTTGGTTTCCTACCTAAAGCTATCATCACATACTTGTTGCTAGTTTAATCACTCGTGGGTCTGGGTTTGTTTTTTATTTGTTTTGCCTGTTGAAAGGCGTCTCTAATCATTTCTATCAGGAACAGTTCTAGATAGTAAGTCCAGAGACTTGTGTTGGGTCCTTTTTCGGTAGAAGGTCCTTTGTACCCACGTATGAGGTGCACTTTAGAGATTAAGGTGTTTTTAATTTGGGGACCAGGCATTAAGAAGGGATTTAGAGGCAGCGGAAGTATGCTGTCCAAGGACCGTCAGGCCGTGCGCTGTGCAGCAGCCAGCGGACCTGTGTCTGTGGGCTCAGAGGCCTCCACGCCCGCTTCTCTGCCTGGACACTTTTACATGTTCCTTTTACAGTATGACAGCTGTAGTCTTTGTTCAGAACTTATCTTAGAAACCTACTCTTCAGATAAAATCTGCTGTTTTTTGACTAAAGTTGGAAGTGTTACACCCACCCACCCCCACCCCAGCTTAGAATAAGAAAAATGTCTTGAATTTTCCATTTTGTGTTTTCTTTTTGATCTTTTTTTTTTCTTATTCATTCATGTTGTTAGTCAGAAAAATAGTTTATATGATTTCCAATAGATTTTTCTCAGAAATTGTATTTCTGAGAAGTTGTAAAGTGAAATTTTACTTTGGGTATCTCTCATCAGAAATGACCAGCTGTTTTTGTCGTAACATTATACTTGTAATTTCTTTCAACTCTTAGGAAAGTAGAAAATGAGGACATGAATAAAGACCAGATATTGCTGGAGAAGGAAGCTGAGGTAAGTAGAAAAGTATTGTAGATTTTAATGTTCAATAGCAATTTAGTGGAGAAACTTGGAAATAGAGTTTGTTAGTAACATGGCTGATTTTTATAAGGTTTAAAAATCAGCAATTTTCATATACACAATGAAAATATAACGACCGAAAATGTCACTCACCGTCATTAAGAAAAATTTAAGGAAGACGTGTGACTCACACAGGGAATGAGAGGAGAAAGCTGCCCTGAGAAGTGCGTTCAGAGTCTGAACCGACACGAAGCTCTAGGAGGCAGGGTGCAGGCGAGGACCTCGGTCTCTAGCGCAGCACACTCCCTGCAGAGCCTGTCTGCTGAGTCCCCCGAGGGCCTGTGACGGGGCGGCTGCCCGTCCTGGAGACCGGGTGTGGAGGCGCAGGGCGCTGGTGAGGGGGCAGAGGGATGGTCCCCACGGGAGCGGCCAGGCCTTGGGCCCCTCGGGGGCGTTCCCCGCGGCGGGGTGGCAGTTCTTTCCTGCCTCTCTAGGTCAAACTCTCTCATGCTGTTTTTCCTTTCTTATTTCTTCCGTTTCTTGGTCATTTTTATTTTTCATTTGAATTGCCTGTTCTTATTGTGTGCTGTGTTCTGTTGAGACCTTGGTCCTTTCACTGGCTGGTCAGAATCGCTGAGAGTTAGCTCATGGTGCTGCAGTCACGGGCCTGTGAAGGCCCCGGCTCACACGCCCCTCTCGGGTCTGCACAGTCCCGGCCCTGTGAAGGCCCTGGGGCCCGGCCCCTCTTGCCCCATGTGTTCGCTCGCGGGGCTGCAGTCACAGCCCCATGAAGGCTCCGGGCTCACACGTCCCTCTTGCATCCACAGCTCCGCCGCATGCAGGAGATGATCGCGCGGATGCAGGCGCAGATGCAGCTGCAGCTGCAGGGTGGTGACGGTGACAGCGGGGTCCACGGGCACCACGTGTGAGGTACGACCCGGCCCGGGGAGCGGCCGCGGGCCCCTGAGGGGAGGGTGGCTCCCAGGAGACCGCGGCTTCCCACCCCCCTGTTCTAGTGAAGGGCAGCCGTGTTTTTTCAGCCTGGAAGCATGGTCAGCAGCTGGAGTGGGAAGCCGAGCTGGTCCTTCCTGTGTAGGGAAGAAGGCCGCTCTTCCCTCCTGGGTCTCCTCCACCTGGAACACCTCAGTCCTGCCCTCAGACCTGTACCGATCCCCCACCTGCCTAGGGCTCACATCTGACCCTGCAGCATGGGGCTCCGTCCCAGACTGGGCACAAGTCTGCCCCCACTTCAGATGCCAGTCACAAGTTGAGGTTGTCAACTGCACTCTGACGGACTGGCTAGAGATTAGCGGTCCCCACCGCACCCACACCCCTACGGGAAAACCCCCGAGGCCCTAGGTGACGCGTGCTGAGGGAAAAACACGGCGCACAGATGAAGAGCCTACAGGCTAAGGCCGGAAACGGGCGCAGAGCTTGTCCCCAAGGAGCTGGGTCTGTCAGCTTCCCGGTAGGGGCGGACTCGCCCCGGAAACTCTCCAGGCTCCTACTTCAGAGACTTTACTGTCTCAACAGTAGAAGAAAAACTGTGTATTACAGTAACTTTTATTGGCCATACAGTTTGAAATTTATTAAAGCTCAAACCATTTTCAAAGAGATTTTTTGCAATAAACGCTTTCCCGTGTTTCTCACTGAGCCGCATGGACCGCTAGTGAGAAAACAGGACGCATCAGGAGCCAAGCGTCCGTCTCCCGTGCGCTGCTGAGACGGCAGTGACGTCCTCACTGCGGGGACTGGGTGGTTGGCGTGCAGGTGACGTGACACAGCGCAGTGTGTGCCAGCTCCCGTGTGAGGTTCTAGTAGACCCGGCTTGGCTTTCCTCCAGGGTCTTCTCTCAGAGGTGTACCCGATTTTGTTAGCAGTTTTCACTCGAATCCGTTGAGGAATGGGACGACTCTGCTCTTGTTTCTTGGCCAGGAATCTCTGCCTCCTGAAAGTCTTGTGAGAAGACATGGTGAGGGGCAAACTCAACCGCACGTAGGATGGTGGAGAAATGAGCCAGAGGGAACTTACTGTTACTGGAACAGCTCAGGCAGAGCAGACGCAGAGGCGGGCTGAGAGGTCCCCCCGAGGGAGACTGCTGGTCTGGCCCTCACCGCTGCTCCGCCCTGCCCGCTCGTCCTCAGTGGGTCCGGGGGCCTGGCCGGGCTGTGCGCCTCCCCGCAGTGTCCTCTCCCTGCCCCTTGCACAGGGGACGCTCAGAGCTGTCCAGGCAGTGACTAGCTAGCTTCAAGAGGAGGGAGTGGAGGTGAAGTCAGAGCCCAGGGAGGAGTACATGGGGTCGGGGCGGCGGGGGAGGCCAGCCCACTCCCTGGAGGAGCTGACCGGGGCCAGACAGAGTGCCCGCTGGCCCAGGTCTAGGGAGAAGCCGGGATTTGGGCAGAGGATCTCTAGTGTGGTTAGGGGCCTGGGACTGTAGAGGCGTCACTCAGGTGATTTGACGACATGAGCAACTGCAGGCTGAGCTGCCACATTGCAGGACCAGTGAGACAGAAGGCAAGGGGCCCTGAGGTTGGGCCCCTGTCAGAAGTCTCCACAACACACAGGTGATGAAGGACCTGGGCGGGGGCAGGTTGGGGCACTGATCACCGCATAAAGCCCTTGCCCTTGGTGGCTTATTGGGAGAGGTTTCAGTTGTGAAATAGCCGCACAGAAAGACAGGAGTAGGCAGGAGGGTGCGAGCGCTTACTTTTAGAGGGAGCGTCCAGGGGACCCACCTGGGTCAGGGGGGACTGCTTCTCCTTGGTCGTCACGTTGGAACCTTGGGAAGGTCCCGTTTCAGCAGTGAGGACGCTGGCGCTGTGGCCACGCCTTGTCAGCTGGCGGGCCTTCTGACGCCACGGGCAGTGCTGCCCAGGCAGGTTCGTGCCTGCCGGGGAAGCGGTGGGAGGGAGAGGGGCTGCGGATCGCCAGGGCTCACCTGGGGCGGGAGGGAGCCATCAGTGTTGGCTCACGTTCTCTATCCTGCTGGTTCTCTTTCTGAAGCTTTATGGAATGAGAATTCCACTTTGGGTACATAAAACCGATACATTTCTGCGTACTTTTCATCCCGGTTTCCCAGAACTTTGTAAGTAAGGTTTTGCTTTTAGTAGACACTGTGGTCCTCGGGCCCACTGTCTGCTCAACCTTTGCCCTTTGTTAACAGAAAAATCCTGCTGGCGGTGGTCTGAGCAGCGGGCAGGGCATCACTCCCATGTAAACGTGTTTGTTGTGTTTTGTTTTTCCAGGAATCCCTTTGCAAGATAAATATTCTGATGAGTAACACAGCTGCATGTTTTCAAGACTGTTGGAGGGGTGCCTGTCCACATTTCACAGTACCTGTGCCTGAGAATTTAATTTTTTAAAAACTTCCAATGTGTTATTTTGTATGAAGTACCTTAACATTTGCATTCATCGTTATGTTATACTTTATATTTTGTGAGGTGAACTGTCCATTTTCCTTCTTCTTGCATTTTAAGTAACCACTGACGCTAGAACTGATTCCCAGGGACCAGTCAGCACGTATAGTCAGTAGTGGAATTTGATTTGACTGGCCTAACCAACTAATTGCGATTTACTTCTAGAACATTCAGATCCCCGAGAATGTCCCTGAGCAGTAGAGACGTGAACACAGGAAGATGAGCTGCCTGGGTACAAGGCCATTTCTCGCCATGGCACCCACATCCCTGCCTTGCTTTGGTTTGACCACAACATCCAAAACTAGTTTTGCTGCTGTAACTCCATACTGTTAATTCATCTGCACATTATCTGTGTACCAAATGAAAAGATACCTAATTAGATACATGTTTATACTTCAATAGGTTTTTTATAAACAGGCTGTTAGGGGTGAGTTTTTTAACAAGTCTTTGAATTCTGAGATCATTTTTTAAACCACTATGCAGAGAACTCGCCACAAACCACGTTCTATAGAGTTTGCCACGAAAACCCATGAGCTGCAGTTTCCATGTCACAGCTAAGACTCTCACCTATGTGGTGAGAGTCAGTAAACTATTTGTAGTCAACTAGATTTATAGCATAACTTTTTAAGGAAAATTAACAGTTGATCTGTGCAGAAGCCTACCTTTTTAGACTGCACTTGGCATGTTTTCTGTGACTGTGGTGTGGAAGATGCACCTCGGCAGGGGGCATCACGGTTCCCAGCGCGGTTCTCCTGGTTTGGCTTCACTTGGACTGATCCCGTTCTGAATGGTTTTCAGGCAGATAGCAGCATATGGCCTGTCCCATCCATTTTTAGCTGCCGTGGTTTCCTTCCTTACATGTTATACAGACTTGACCACAGGGGGCTTGAGAGTGACGGCTCTTGCAGACTTGCTCCATGGGCTGGCTGATGGTCAGCACCGTGCTGCCTGGTTTCCTGTGCCTGCGGTTGATCGGTCATCAGAAGTGACACATGGAAGGAGCCTGGAGGGAGTAGGTGCTAGCTCAGCATTCTCATTCCACGAGAGCACGAGGGGCTGATGTGGAGAAGCACTGAGCTCCAGGGCTGAGGACACCCAGAAGGGAAAGGGAGATGGTGACAGTTGGCCAGGGGCACTGCAGAAGACCATCTGGTGTTCTCCCGACTGCCCTTTCACTGTTGCCTAATTGCGAGTGGTCAAGAGCTATAGGTTCAGGTGCATTGTACAGTTTTTACCAAGAAGTGTTCCATGACCTTAGGGGTACTTCCATGCAAGGCCAGTTATTTGGGTTATTTTGGCATTAACTATGCTAGTCAAAGCTGTTTTTTAAAAGGGGGCAGGGTGGCAGTAAGTGGTAGACGTAATAAGCCCAGTATAGTCTGCATAGTGCCAGCTGCCACCTCATGGATGCGTGGGTGTCGGTGGACCTACACTTTCAAATTCCCTTTTGTTTTGCTGCCCCAATCTAAATACTTTAGCTAATAGATAATTGCTCTTTAGTTACTAAGAGAGAAAACTTTACCTATAAAAATGTATTTTGAAAACTTATTTTACACAGCAATTTTGTATCCACTAAAACTAACCTTTTACCAATAAAGCACTATTGTTTAGATATTGAGTAGTTCTCATTATTGGCTCTTTACAAGGTAAAGGTGTAAGATTTTCTCAGAAAGATTCAGAGAAACTTCTGCATTTCCTGTGTATAAGAAATGGGGAGGAATTACTCGCATGAACATCAGTACATAACAGCTCTGTACTGGATATCCCAGCTGGAAAGAGGGAGCCACGAAGCCTGGGAAGAAAGGATTTACCAGGGAACCGATGGTCTGATAAAAAGGAGCACTAGTGAGAGCTCGATGCTGTCTGCCCACCGGGCAGAAAACGTGAGAAAAGCAAGGTCTCATTCACGGTAGGGACAACGACTGACTAACCGGGAGGAGTGCCGAAACCTGACCTAGGGGTGGCAGCCTGTCCCCTGGCCCCTCCACCCAGGACCGCCTGGGGCCCTTTCCTACTGTAGTTCTCTCCAGGCCCGTCCCTCCCTTGGGTGTTGCTTCCAGCGTACGCGCCTTAGCCTCTAGTGGCTTCCCGGCCGCTCTGACCAGGGTCTCCCTGCGTGGTCCCCCTGGCAGTGTGCGCCTATTGGGGGTTCTGTGCTGGGGGCCGGTTAGAGAAAAAATCCGGCGGGGACGATGGGGACAAGAGTGCCCTTCCGAGGCAGCCCCGCGGAAAGCTACTTGTGTGAAACGTGTCCGGAAGGCCAACCAACCAGGATTCTCCAGGATGGTTCGGGACTTACTCCCTAGATAGCCGCGCGGGGGCGCTCCTGGCCTGCCCGCGGGGACCGCGGCGGGGGCAGGACCGGGGCAAGTTGAGCTGGGTCTCCAAAAATGCATAGGAGCTAACTCAACTGCTCGAAGAAGGGCCTGGGGGCTCCGGAGATGATGCCACGTTTCCATTCCCCGGTGGGGGACCGCGAAGGCTAGGGGGACGCTGGCCTCCCAGCACGGCCCGTTTCCTCTGCAGCACACCTTCTCCTGGCCCTCGGCGCCCCTAGGCCGACCTCGGTATCCCCAGGAGAAGAGCACCTGGTAGCAGGCTCTGGTAACAGGAACGCAGGCGGCCACGGTTCAGGTCAGCACGAGCCCGCAGAAGGATCTGGGCCTGAGTCGCGCCCCGCCCCCCGAGCCGTAACCACGCCCCGCCCCCAGAGCCGACGCCCCACCCAGAACCGCCGGCGGCGCTTCGAGCTGAGCTGGCCGAATTACATCTGACTCTGCGCTTTCCTTCTCGCCCTACAAATCCACCAATCAGAGTTCTGTGCCGCGCTTCCAGGCGGCGGCCGCGAAGGCCCCGCCCCAGAGGCCGTCGGGCCAATCGGCGGCGCATCCGCGGGGCGGGGGCGGGGCACCGGGCGGGGCGGGGAAGGGGCGCGGGGAGCGGGGGCGGCTCGCTGGCAGTAGGGAGCGGGCGGAGCCGGCGCGGATTCGGAGGCCGCTGCGGGCGACAGCTCGGGCCGGGCAGCCGGTGAGGGTGCGGGGCCGCGCGGCAGCGGGCGAGCAGGGGCCAGGCTGCGCCTCGGGGGCGGGCGGCGGAGGCCGCGGGCCGAAGCCCGAGGCAGGGCGGGCGCCTCCAGACGGCGAGCGGCCAGAGGAGTCTGCTCCCGGCCTGGGAAGGCCTTCGGGCGGCGGGCCGCGTGTGAGGAGGGCGCTGTGTGGGGAGCCTGCCCGCTGGGGGTCCTGGGTGCGCGTGAGGACCCCGCGTGGGGGCCCCGGGGTGCACGTGAAGGTCCCGCGTGGGAGCCCTGGGGTGCGCGTGAGGACTCCGCGTAGGGGCCCCGGGTGAGCGGGGAGGGCCCCGCGTGGAGGCCTGGGCAGAACCACAAGTGGAAGCTCCGGCGACTTGTCGCCATGCCCTTTTTGGCCTTTCCTTAAATGATCTTAAGGCTGGTATTAGGTGTTAATGCTTTTACTCCGGGAAACCTGGAAGGGCTGCCAGTCAATCCTAGGAGGAATCCAAAGGCCGCCCAGAAAGCTGGGACCCGACCATAACCAGTGATCGCTCAGGCCGGGGTCCACACCCACCCTGGAGGCTGCAGCCTCCGGAGGCCTTCCACGTGCTGGTCGGTGGTAATTGCCGTGAAAACAGAAATTCCCAGGAGGTGCACTGAAGGAAATAGTGTGAGTCCACAGTGAAAGGAAAGATTTACATCTCGGAGTGGCTTTTCCCTGTGCCTTTGCCTTTTCTTTGAGGGAGCTTTGGGCGGAGCACTCTGGAGAGCCTGATGGCCGTCAGGGGCACAGCACCAGAGTGCTGGTGGTGTGGAGGGACGGCGGAGCACCTGGGAGCTGGGCAGGCATGGAGTGGCTTTGCTTGCAGGCAGATCTAATGCTGTCTCTGCTGCTCTTTGAAAGTTCTGTGAGTTCCTTACACCAGAGACTTAACTCTCTGTGAGGGCTTATGAAGCACTTCACACCTGGTATTTGTATTTTGTTTTGTTGTTCAGTCTCAAAGTCACGGCTCTTTGCAACCCCATGGACTGTGGCACACCAGACTCCTCTGTCCTCCACTGTCTCCTGGAGTTTGCTCAAACTTATGGCCATTGAGGGACTGTTGTCATCCAACCTTCTCCTTCCTCTGTCACCCTCTTCTCCTCTCCCTCAGTCTTTCTAATGAGTAAGTTCTTCGCATCAGGTGGCCAAAGCATTGGAGCTTTAGCATCAGTCCTTCCAATGAATATTCAGGGTTGATTCCCCTTAGGATTGACTGGTTTGATCTCCTTTCAGCCCAAGGGACTCTCAAGAGTCTTCTCCAACACCACAGTTTGAAGCATCCATTCTTCAGCGCTCAGCCTTCTTTATGGTCCATCTCTGACATGTGTACATGACTACTGGAAAAACCATAGCTTTGACTGTGCAGACCTTTGTCGACAAAATGATGTCTTTGCTTTTTAATACGCTGTTTAGATTTTTCATAGCTTTCCTTCCAAGGAACAAGCGTCTTTTAATTCATGGCTGCAGTCAAGTTGTCTCAAAATATGCAGAGATGATGTGGCCAGGCCCTGGCCCCATTTGGAAGCAGAGTGGGTGGCCGGTACTGGATGTCGCCTGGACCTGCTTCCTGGGGTGGGACTCCTGCTTTGTTGCAGACCCTCAGTGAGCACTGAGCCATCTGGACCAGATGCTGGCAAGAGCTGCAGAAGTTTGCTGGCTCATTTACCTGCTTGGCCCTCCTCTCCTAGTAGACTTCCTGCTTCCTTCTGTACGAATTCCTTTCCCAAAAGGGGAGTTTATATGATACATTCACGTGTCTCTCCTCGGGCTCCTTATCAACAAATGAGGTTGCAGTTTACCTGCCTCATAGACTTGTTGTGAGGATTAAGCATCAGTAGCTAGATGCCTGGAACCCACTAAGTGCTTAATCGGTGTTAGCCATCATGTTATCAAGTAGAAGAGCAGTCTGAGTGCACAGTCCAGAGAAAAGGAGGCAGTATTTAAGCAGATTGTCCTGCTTGGGGGAAGGGCATGCCCTGCGTTGACAAAGCAAAGATGGAGGCATGGATAGATCTGTGCATGTGCTTTTAAATCCATCGGGCCCCTCCTCTCCTCTCCAAACACTTTGCCTCTTGGCACATTAGTGCCGCCTCTGTCCTGAGACGGTAGCAGTTCCTGCTGCTTATCCTTTCAGGTCGTTCCTGCTTTTCCTTCACCCACTCTCTTGTAAGCCTGCCACCTCCCCTTTTGCTCCGTGGGTTGGAAGTTTCCTGCACACAGCTTAGCGTTCTTTGCGGGAAAACCGCTGTAAATTTTGAGTGCTGAGCCGAGGTCACCCCAGTCTTGCTCTCTGAGATCCCATGTGTGGAGCATCATTGGACTGCAGCATATTTGTCAGTTCCAGGCTTTACCTTGGCAACAGCGCGTCAAAGGTGAGGGCTCCACAAAGCTCAAGATGATAGAGGCCAGAATGTGGTGGCTTTCTGGCAATTCTGCAAACTGGTCTGATCTTTTTGGAGAGCAGCTAGCAATAAGTGATAAAAGGTTTTGATTTTGGAATCCCGGTTTTTAAAACAAACTTGTATACACTCTGCATGTAAGAGTGGTAGAACACTCTGTAGCCCCCAGACATGCTTCAGCAACCCCCTTCTTACCCTTCCCTCCCAACAAAATTTGAACCATTATGATCCCTGGAAATACGTTCAAAAAGATATCTTAACCAAAAAGGCGGAGCAGTTCGTACACAGCAATTACACTGATTTAAAAATATACGAGGATGTGGACAAGGATGAGAGGAGAAGGTGGAGTGATGTAAGTAGTTTTATTTTAGGGTCATAGGACTATTTTCCAGTTTACAGTCATTTTAAAATTCAAGACCAGAAAGGCCCTCTGATGCTGTCAGGTGCAGTGATGAACCTGTCTTCACCCGTCGCTCCCAGCTGCAGAGTACCAGGTGGTGAGATTCCACCCAGACCTCCTAGGTGGGCTCTCAGGACCCCCACAGCCCAGCCCCATGGGCGCCCTCAGAGCCCCGCCCGTGTGCACTGCGCTTGCCCAGCCGGCCCTCCATTCCCCCACGGGCCCAGCTCCACTCCGTGCTGGAGAGTCGGCGGGCAAGGCCAGCCGCGCCCCCTCCTCTGTGTTCCCTGGTGCTGCCTGCACTCCGCCGTGTAGTCCGGGCCACTTCCACAGGCGTCTCCGCTTCTGGCTCATCCCGTACTCGACATGTGGGGTCCCTTAAGCCCAAGAGGGGATGGCACATGGTGAGGTCAGGGGTGGGGGGGAGGCTGAGGTCACGTGTGTTGCAAGTCACTAACCTTTCTGAGCCTGAATTCCTTGTTTCGTGTGGCAAGGCTTGTGAGCCAGGGGCGGGCATGGCAGCCACTCGGGACACTTGGGGGGTCTGACGCAGACACCCATCTTTCACTGAGGCCTCCTCCCTCCCTCTCCACCCACCAGATCCCTGGTGGCTTCTGGCTTCACTCCTTGCAGCTCTTACCAGCACCTAGGAGACTGGCTCCTGTGTCTTCCCCGCTGTGATGGGGGAGGTTTTCTCCTCTCAGAGGCTCCTGTGCTTTTAGGGACTTGGACTTGCTCTGTTCAGAAGCAAGGTGCTTGCTGAATGTTTGAACGAGTCAGGTTTCATCAGGGCAGAGTGAATGGCAGTTTTTATGGGACCTGAGATTTACCCAGTGTGGGGGAGGAGGCCTCTTTAAGTGTTAGAAATAAAAATTAACTTGGAGTGCAAATATTTATTTAGAATGAGAAAAAGTAAATACGTTACAGAGTTGAGAAAGCTAACCATTAATACAACAGTCAGAAAAATCCAGAAAAATAGCATATTTGTTAATTATCTGACACATGTCTGTTTCCCAGTGGCTAAGTGGTAAAGAATCCACCTGCCAAGCAGGAGACCCAGGTTCAATCCCTGGGTCAGGAAGATCCCCTGGAGAAGGAAATGGCAACCCACTCCAGTATTCTTGCCTGGAGAATCCCATGGACAGAGGACCCTGGTGGGCTACAGTCCATGGTGTCACAACCAATCAGACACAACTGAGCAAGTTAACAGCAGCGGCAGCAGATAAGAGTTGGTATTGTCTTGAGCCCTCGACACACACCTCTGTACCACTTTTCATTTGGCCATGTACTTTTTAATTAGTGTGACAGAGAATAGAATGAGTTCAGTGACTCCTCTAGCATGGTTGATCAGAAATCTTTATTGTTGACTGTTAGGAGATATAAAACATGGTTTCACGCTTGCTCTTTCTAGCACAGCTACAGATTGTGTCTTGGAACAGCAGGAGTTCTGATAAATTCTGTTTTGCAGAATTCCATTCAAAACAGGTAAAACTCTGTGCCGTATTTATAAGCATACCACTGCAGTGTAAATTCTTTTCACTGACAGGCGGGCGGTGCAGTTTTGACCACTGAGTGCCGCGCTGTGCTTGCCTTCCCACGTGTCTGTGATGACTTTTCAGCGTCTGTCCTGCACTGCCAGCCTTTCTCCTTCTCCAGGCCCACACGCCCCCTGCACCAGGCGCTGCTGGGGCTGTTCATGTCGCCACGGGGTCCGGCCTGCACTTTGTCCCCTAGCCCCGTGCCCGAGCACCCCGGGCGACAGTGACGCTCCCGGAGCCAGGCCTGCGACGTGATGGCTAGTGATAACCTCGGTGTGAAAACGGAAACGTGTCCCATTAAACCCGAACTCGGCATGTCTCCTGCTCCTCATGCAGGTAGTTGGATGCTGTCTTGAGCCACGTGACCTGGGGAAGGAGAACGCAGGCAGGGTCAGGGTGGGAGGGGCAGCAGTCTCTGTCAATTGCCATTGGAATATATGTGCGAACTTCCTAGAAGGCTTCACCAAGGGCCCCTTCTTAGGACCTTGAAAGGGGCCATGCCAGTGAGGAGCCCAGAAACAAGGCAGATGGGCATCAGAGTCACATGGCCAGACAAGGGCAGGGCGTGGCCAGCACCTTGAGGGTGCCTGGGACGCACGTGGTAAGGGTGGTAAGGGAGCTCGGCACCTCTTCCGACAGGTGGTGGGGCGCGTTTGGAAGGAGGAAGCAGCTCTGGGTCGTTTTACAAATCACTGGAGGAGTTCTGTCTCCTGCGGCCTTCAGATCCCGGCTGCCTTGGTGACAGTTAATAAGATGCATGTTGGGGGAACAAGTCTCACTCTCAGAACAAGAAACCCATTCCAGAGACTGTTGAAAAGTGATCATTTGACTTTAACTGAACTGTCTGAGAAGGAGGAGACCCAGGGTAGGTCCCCTGCTTTCTCCTTGAAGGTGAGCCTTGCTCCACTGTGTGGCCCCTGCTGTCCTCTGCCCAGCAACCATCTAATTTCAGAAGTAACGCGTGTTCATCCCTGGAGGCATCTCCAAAACGACAGACCCTCGGAAGGAAGGAAATAAACATCAACCGTCTTCCCAAAGAGCACCATGCAGATGCGCTCTAGATGCCCGGGAGTCAAGTTCTGTTTCTGGGAAGAGGCACAAGCCCCCTCGGCCCCAGCTCGCCCACCGCCCCTGCTGCAGAGCTGGGTGGTCGCGTGGAGCAGCCGTGAGGAAACAGCGGCCAGCACTGCCGCGCGAGCAGCGAATCTCCTGTTCCTCCATCGCCTCCCCCAGCTTCCCCAGACTGCTCCCAGGGCAGCCAGAACCCAGAGGTGGGCTCCAGGCGCAGACCGGGTGGGCTGCAGGAGGAGCTGCCCAGTTTGGGTTCCAGAGAGACGGGGAGACAGCCACCGTACCCCCTCCCTCTCCCTGTCCTCCAGCCAGGCCTGTGGCAGCAGGGCCTGCAGACGCCTGTGACTCGGGGGCGCTCTCCTCTCTCTCCTGCAGCCGGGGCAGCCCCCAGCAAGCAGGGCGTCAGCTGCAGGCTCCTGGCTAGAGAACTGAGGAGTAAGCCAGGGAGCTGTGGACAGGGCGCCGAGGGGCGCCTGCAGGGTGACCCCCGTGGAGAAGGGGCCTGCGGGGGCGACCCTAGTGGAAGGAGCCTGCAGGGCGACCCCCGTGGAGAAGGGGCCTGCAGGGGCAACCCCCATGGAGAAGGGGCCTGCGGGGTGACCTCCGTGGAGAAGGAGCCTGTGGGGTGACCTCTGTGGAGAAGGGGCCTGAAGGGATGACCGCAGAGTTGCTGATGAATTTGTGGGCCCAGTGCTGAGCTATGCCTACATGGGGCCAACTCTGCACCACTTGCCAGTGGGAACTCGGTTGGGAGGGGGACCACAGCCTGGGAGCCAGGCGGGCGCCAGGGAGAGTGGAGCCTCTGCAGGTTGGGCTAATGCTGAGGCCTCCACCCGACTCTGGCAAGGCCAGTGCAGCGAAAACAGAGATGCCACATTCTCGTGGGATTTAAGTGATGCCAGAGACTCACAGTGCAATGTTTTGCGTACGTTATTTACTTATTTGTGACCACACTGGCTCTTCATTGCTGCTCAGGGTCTCTGGTTTGGGCGAACAGGGGCTGTTGTTCATTGTGGTATGTAGCTTTCTCACTGCAGGGGCTTCTCTTGTTGCAGAGCACAGGCTGTAGATGCTCAGGCTTCAGACGCTGCAGCTTGTGGGTCCTGGAGCGTGCAGGCTCAGTAGTAATGGCTCATGGACTTAACTGCTCCATGGCATGTGGAATCTTCCTGGACCACGGATCAAACCCATGTGCCCTGCATTGGCAGGTGGATTCTTACCCGCTGTACCATTCCAACACAGTATTTTAACTCTCCAGGATACAATCCAAAATTACCCGACATACTTAGAACCAGGGAAATACCAGCTCACAGGAGAGAAGACAGGCTACAGCTCAGATGATGCAGATATTGGAATTACTAGACAAAGACCTTGTGGTCGGCAGAACTTTGTCCCCTAAGGCCATCACCGCCAATGTTACTTCTGAGAACAGGTTCTGTTATGTGGCAAAAGCGCTTTGCAAATGTGAGACCATCGACGAGGTTCCCTACTTGAGCTGAGACACGAGCACTGCAGACTCCAGAAACAGGGTTCCCAGCGCTGCCCTCCCAGCACTAGTGCCCCGCCAGAGGCGGTTGTTTGGGTAATTTATCCTCCAGCGTGCTTATTTGAATGGAAGCAGATGCGTGTGTTCATGGTCTCCTCTTAACCAGAACTCATGTGCCACACACCTGCTTTGCACCTGGCTTGTATCCACCTTCACACCAAAGAAGCACATAGAGACCTTCTTCTCGTGATAGAAATTTCAGCAGCTACCTCTGCTGTGGACAGAGGGCTGTGCTTGCTAGTGAGCCACATGCTCATTTTCCAGCCAAGGGGGAGGCAACTTGGGAGCAGACCTTTTTTTTAATAGACTTTTTTTTAGAGTAATTTTAAGTTCACAGAAACTCTGAGTGGAAGTTCCACAGATTTCTCACATGCCCCCCACTCCAGACATGCACAGCCTCCTGCATCGTCACTGCCCTGCCCCAGTGGTACCTCTGTTACAAACCTGTGTTGACACGTCATCACCCAGAGCTTCGGCAGACTTTTGAGCTGAGTTGTTCCAACTTTAGAATGAAAATTATACATCACAAGGTGGTTTTGAAGTTTTTTTTTTATTAAATGAGAATATATAGGAGCCAAGTTTGTAACACTAGACATCAGTGGTGGAAATTGTATCCAGCCACCAGAAATAGTTTTAGGAATGAGACTGCAAAACATTTTGATCACATAGAGGAAGAAAGGAAAGTGAACTGGAGTCCCTCGTCAGTCCCTGGATTTTGATTGATTCCCTCCAGGTCTCTGGAGAGGGTTCCCCTGAGGAGGTCCCCCTGGAGAGGGTCTCTGGAGAGGTCTCTGGAAGCAGAGGAGCTGTCTTCTGCCCTTTAGAGCCTGTAGGACTGGGAAGCGCTTGCTGTGTGTCTCATCTAGTTTGCATAAAAAGGCATACTCTTGCCTTTTTAATGTTTATTTATAAGCACATAGAGCAAGACAAAGTAATTTCTGTTAGGCTGTAATTTATGTAAAGCAGATTCAGTGCATACATTTTTCCTTTCTTCCCGTGGTCAGGCTAGAGGAAGCAGTCAGGCTGAGGCGAGACTGTTGAACAAGCAACTTCAGCTCCTACAGGGAGAGTTCTGTCACTGCTGCTCACTCCAGAGTGAGACCAAGGTTGACTGCTGTTTGCAACACGGTGGTTCTGTCTGATTTTCCAAGTTCCTTTCCTGAACTTTCTTAAGCTAAAAGATGAGTAGTCGTTAAATAGGAGGTATGTGTGCATTGCTGATGTGTGATAGCAAGTAGAGCTCTCCTGGAGCGTCCAAGGGAGGGTGCCTCGTGGGCTCGGGTCCTCTCAGGAGAGTCGTCCTCTCCTGGAGCGTCCGCGGGAGGGTGCCCGTGGGCTCAGGTCCTCTCAGGAGAGTCGTCCTCTCCTGGAGTGTCTGCGGGTCCTCTCAGGAGAGTCATCCTGTCCTGGAGCATCCTCAGGAGGATGCCCCGTGGGCTCGAGTCCTCTCAGGAGAGTCATCCTCCCCAGGTGAGCCTCCGGGATGTGAGGGTGTCTTGTGGTCCTCGGTCTCAGCTTTAGCTGGGTGGGTATCTTCCTTTGACCAGGAGGAAATTACTGGGACAGAAGCTTGCTGCTCAGAAGACATATAAACCTGCAAAGGCCATGTTTTAGAATTCCTTGATCTAGGAAAAGTGTTTTTCCATTTATCTAACGTGTCTTTTGTTCTTAGGAGAGATGAAACAGTGGTTGATTAACAGTGTGCTGTTGAAACTGCATGAATCAAATGCACAGCTTGATGAGCTGTGAGTGGACAGTGTCCAGTCGAGCCGTGGAGCTGCGCTGGCCACACCTGCAGCCCCTCCGCTGTGGCCTTCCCAGGGCAGCCCCCCGCAGGGACCCCAGCCCTGACTCTTCTGGGATAGCCTCCCTGCACGTTCTTCTTGCTGTTCCTCACCTGAATGAGTGCAGTATTTTAGTCTTGCTTGCTTTGGGTTTTTTGTTGTTGTTGTTGTTTTTTCAAGAAGTAGGTGTTTAGACATGACTTTCTTGTAATAAGTCAAAGGGAAGAACCTGAAGAAATTTTTTCCATCTAAAATTTTTATGAAAAAGTATAAATGAGAATTATACAATGGAATACACAACAGAAGTGATTCAAAAAAAATACCTTGGTTGTGTGTATTGCTTCAGAACTGTAGCTTTACTTAAAAGGGAGAGGGTCATTTGGGGCCACAGCTTGTTCCAGAAGGGCCTCTCCTGTGGTGGGTGAGGCTGTGAGCTGACCTCGTCTCCCTCCACCTGTCTGCGCGCCTCTGACGCCTGGCAGCTGGGCTCGTCTTCCTGCATACCCTTGCTTCCGCAGTGGCATCTCCCGTTTGTGAAGCTGGAATGAAAGCGCTCACATTTGTGGTTCTCAGCACCTCATGGGTCTCACACTCAGCGGCATGGAAGCAGGTTTCTGCCGTGTTGATTGTGGCCGCGGCCTGTGCAGTGCCTGTGTCATGACGTGCTGTGTGCTCTTATCCGTGACGTTAACCACGGTAAGAATTACTTCTCCCAGGGCCATGCAGCCTGGAGGGAGAGCTCTGAGGACAGCGGGTGACCGCCAGCCTGAACCGCCCTCGCGGCTCAAGTGACCCGCGTGCCCATCCGCGCATGGGGTCAGCCGTTGCCTTGTGCGGAGGCCGGCTGGGAGCTGTGTCCGGCAGGATGACCAGCGGCCTCGTCACTGTGCTCGAGCTGTGCGCGTCTCACTTTCC